TCATCACCTAAATTACGTACCTAACTTTCAGACTGGCATTGGTTAGAATTTGTTATAGTACTTAAAATAATAAGTTTTAACATATTCAACAAGTTGTCATTATTGTTTTAACAAGATGTCTTGGTCTTTTATGAGAGATCATCTGTAAATACTGCTGTATCAATCATTTTTGAGAAAGTTATCGGTTTCAAACATGAAATTATATTGAGCAAATTGGTGGTTTGGCTTTCTATCGGCATTTTAAAAAATAAAAATAGAAATCAGACAGAAACAAACTTATCAGTTTGGTTCATCTGATTTGGCTGGCTTTCCGATTCAATTGACTAGCCCTAATTTTTTTATATTATTTTATTGTATTTATTTAATTTCCAATCAAGACACTAAAATTATTTTATAATTCTAACTGTGGAAGCTTAGCTTAATTTTTTTTTGGTCAATGTGGAAGCTTAGCTTGTGTATATGAAATGAGGTTAACTGGGTAACTAAAATTCATCCAGTTACTGTCCCAAGAACCAAGTGCTCGAACCAAATTGAAAAAGCAACGAGAAGGAGAAAGAAAACTATATCCATACGACTCACTTGTCTTGTCATTCGAAGTGATGAATAAGCAAACTATAAGCTTTTTCTCTTTTCCAATTCAGTCATCATGAACGTTTAGAAAATGAATATTTTCAACTCCATCAAGCTCTGGTGGAAAATGAATTGTTTCTCATTTTTAAATAAAGCATCTAGTCAGTGCACATCGGGATCGGGAAATACATATTAATTAATAAATTTTCCTGTATACTGATATTTACATACATCCATCATGACATGCATCAAAGGTTCCAAAATCACCAAAATTATGGTTCTATTGAATCTGTATCATGTATGGAAACTTAGAAACTTTTTGGGAGCTGAAGCTCATGCCTATAGGAATGACAATGAAGCAAATGAAAGGTGGGTATGCTATTCCCATCTTCATTTTCATTGAGCTTTTTATTCCCCATCCCCGCTTTCTTATCTGCAATATTCATATTGGAGATTCTTCATCCCCACATTTATTGGGGAATGGATTCCCTGACCTGCCCCATTACATAAGAAAAAACTAATATAAAATTACTTTGTTGAAAGGAAAAAAATTAATAAGACTAGGGCAAGACAATTAATATAATATATATATATATATACACGTATAAGATAATTTAAGAATGTTTATATTGACTGAAAGTTAACTAAATATTGTTGGCGAGACATCCTAGTCTTATTAGGATATTTCTTTCTTATTCTATTAGGATTTTATTTATTTCCTTTTTGTATAGATATTATGTAATTAGAACTTTTCTTATTTCCTAGTATAACCCTACTAAGGTTTGTAACCTTGTATTATAAATACATCATTTCGGAGAATGAAATACATCTGAAATATTATACCCATATTGTTTGACTTGGTATCAGAGCCAACTTTCTGGTGACCTGTGTATGTTGTGCCCACTCGTGTTCTACTGTGTGCCCTAATTCCTTTTAGGGTTCTTGTGCCTGTGACTGTGCTGTGTTTGTCGTATCTGTTTTGTGTTGTGTTTTTTCCGCTGCTATCATGGGTGATGATTCCAAAGTCGTGGTGGGTGTCAGTGCGTCTACAACAAAGGAGGAACGTCCCTTGCGTGATTACTCTACCCCGATTACTTCTAACAAATTGGATGGCTCCAATTATGCCTCTTGGTCTCGTGGTGCGCGTATTACAATTACTAGTCGTCATATGGTAAGTTGGATCAATGGGAAGAAGCCTACTCCGTCTAAAGATTCCGCTACCTATGTCGAATGGGAAGAAGATAATTGTCTGGTGCAGTCATGGCTTCTCAATTCCATGACTAAGCCAGTTCGTGCCTTGTTTGAACATGGTGCTACTGCTTTTGATATATGGGAGGCCGCTCGGAAGACTTATACTGTGACTCAGAATAGTTCTCGTCTGTTTCAACTCCGAAGGCAATCCATCCTTACGTGTCAGAATGGTGAATCTGTTAAAGTGTTCTATGAAAAACTTCATGCTATCTGGCAGGAGATTGATTGTCTACGTCCACATGAATATAGCTGTACCGATGATGGGGCTCGCCGTTTGAAAGAACTTGAAGCCGATCGAGTTTATGATTTTCTTGGAAGACTTGATCCACCATATGATGGTGTCCGTAGCCGTATCCTTGCTCTTTGTCCTGTCCCACCTCCTCTTGAGGCCTATGCCATGGTCATGGAGGAAGACACCCGTCAGTCCGCTATGCTTGGAGGAGGTTCTATGGCCCTCAAAGTCGACCCAGCACATCAACGACCGGTCGCCCCTCATTCAGAAAATTTTCTACTTTTGCTGGTCGCGTCCTACTGGCTCTTCCCCTAGCTCTCTTGACGGTCCTCTTAAATGTCGTCATTGTAATGGGAATCACTACTCTGAGAAGTGCTTTAAGGAGGATGGTTATCCGGATTGGTTTGCTGACTACAAAGCTCGTATGTACGGTCCCAATGCCGCCTGCACTATGACTCAAGATGAGACCCGTCATCTGGCCCCGTATGCAAATCTGTGTGCTTCTGATACCATGCCAGGTATGAGTTCTAATACTTGGATAATTGACACT